TGGACGGATTTGCAGACCTCTTATCGTTGTTGAGAATGGCAGGTCCCTCGTCACAGCCCGCCACTTGGACAAACTGCGTGATGGCACGATGCAATTCGATGATTTCTTGGCCCAGGGGTTGGTCGAATACCTTGATGTCAACGAGGAGAATGACTCCTTGATCGCTCTTTATGAGAAGGACATCACAGATACAACGACACATTTGGAGATCGAACCCTTTACGGTGCTTGGAGCCGTCGCTGGTTTGATCCCGTACCCGCACCACAACCAATCGCCCCGTAACACATATCAGTGTGCGATGGGTAAACAAGCTATTGGAGCCATTGCATCAAATCAGTTCCTTCGTATCGATTCTATCCTTTACCTCATGGTGTACCCACAGAAACCCATGGTCAAATCACGCACAATTGAACTGGTCAAGTATGATCAACTCCCCGCCGGTCAGAATGCGATGGTGGCGGTCATGAGTTATTCCGGTTACGATATTGAAGATGCCCTGGTTTTGAACAAGGGTTCCGTCGATCGTGGCTTCGGTCGTTGCCAAGTGTTCCGGAAGTACGTGACCAATCTGAAGAGTTATTCGAACGGTACAAAGGACAGACTCAATCCCCCAACGTACGAGAATGGTGCACCCATCAGAAAGCATGCATTACTTGAAGCGGATGGTCTGGCTGCTGTCGGTGAACAGGTAAATGCTGGCGAGGTCTACATCAACAAGAGCACACCCGAGCAATCCAACCTATCGGGAATCGGCTCCGATGCTGGCCGACCAGTTCAGTATACACCGACGCCCATGACTTACAAGCTTCATGACCCGGCATACATTGACAAGGTCATGTATTCCGTACAGGAGAACGAGAACCAACTCGTCAAGGTTCTCGTTCGCCAAACCCGTCGACCGGAAGTAGGTGACAAATTCTCCTCTCGTCACGGTCAGAAAGGTGTCGTTGGTATCATAGCCGACCAGGCAGATATGCCTTTCACAGATGCCGGTATCAATCCCGACATTATCATGAACCCGCACGGTTTCCCCTCCCGTATGACAGTCGGGAAAATGCTGGAACTCGTTGCTGGAAAAGCCGGTGTGCTTGCCGGTCACCACGGTTACGGAACCTGCTTCGGCGGCACCCCCGTGGAGGAGGCGTCGCGGATTCTGATCGACCACGGCTTCAGTTACGGTGGCAAAGACTATCTCACGTCGGGCATCACCGGCGAAGCTCTTCCATTCTACGTCTTCACCGGCCCCATCTACTACCAGAAGCTCAAGCACATGGTGCAAGACAAGATGCACTCGCGTGCGCGCGGACCTCGAGCAATTCTGACCCGTCAGCCCACAGAAGGTCGTTCTCGAGACGGTGGTCTCCGTCTTGGAGAGATGGAGCGTGATTGTCTTATCGCCTACGGAACCAGCCAACTGCTTCTCGAGCGTCTCATGATCTCCTCCGATCGCCACGAGATTGACGTCTGCGAGCAGTGCGGCTTCATGGGCTATCTGAACTGGTGTCAGCGGTGCAAGTCGTCTCGGAGCGTCGTGAAGATGACAATCCCATACGCGGCCAAGCTTCTCATTCAGGAATTGATGAGTATGAACGTGACTGCTCGCCTGAAGCTCGATGATGAGTTCCCCGAGTGGAAGGGAACGTAGTAATGACCTCCTCTCGCTGTCTCTCATTGAAACCGTCTTGCACGGCATTGGTATCAGCTTTGTACAAAAGGAAAAGTTTCATGTGTTTTATGTTTGATGTCCGAGAAAAGTGCGTCGTCGGTCGTTTGGCGCTCGAGGTCATTTGATCATGTACTCATCTACCGCGTACGTGTAGTTTGCATGCATAGCGCACGGCGATTTGGTTTTCATTAGATACTGTTATCATAGCATTTGAATAGAAATGGTCTTTGCAGGACTAGAAACTAGAAATGTGGATTCTTTCAAATGAGTCTTCGTCGATGATGTATAAATTTTCAAAACTAGAGACTAGATCTATAACTTAGTTAAGAAGGCAACACAGTAGATAGAAATAACATTCTGTCGATGAGCAGTGCAAGGCACAGCGGCCAGCATTAAAGAATGACTACGTTTGATTCGAAGGAAACCTGCTGATACTTGGTGAACTGAACCCTCTCCCAAAAGACGTCGTCATGGAGTTTCCTAGCCTCGTTCAGGGAGATTGGTAGGCTGTTCTTCCTTTCTGAGAACCGAACGGTGAGCTGTTGTAGCATCTGATCCAGCCCTTCTAGTTCCTGGGGGTCAATTTTGTCAAAGGTCCAATCCAGTCTCTGGGGCGGGACATTGGCCGTCGAAATGATACGGATGTTGGGGTCGACTAGGAAAAGGGAGAGCACCTTGACGGAGCCAGGTCTGGTTTTGTCAATCAATTCGCAGCGGTTCACACGGTGCTGGATGGTTGCGGGCACAATGATGACTCGGCCGAGGGGCGTTTTGATCCTGCCAACGGTTTGGACGGTAGATTCTCCGTCTTCCAGGCCGTAGATTTGTTTCAGCCAGATTGTGTCGTCGGGGTCGTGCTCGACCTCGGCCAGGCTGGCGGATTCAGAGATTTGCCGGAATTCCAGCGAGGGAACTTCCACGTTGTCGATGTGGAAGACGTAAGCCATTGTTGCGGTCACATGCTCATTCTACGGTGACGGTCAGTAAAAGAGAGGCACTGGATGTTGCAATTTCGAAAGAATCTCACCATCTGCCCTTCGCAGTGATAGCCCGACTCAGTGTACGGATGTTCAGGCGTCAGATCGTAACTGGTGATTCTACAAACCATTTGTAGCCCCCGTTTTCCATAGTCTCTGTTCAGTTCAACGCCCTGCTCAATCCGGACCGGGGTCGGAAGATCCGCTGGCAGAAAGGACATCATCCAGGGTGGTACAGCCCAGGGAATGAATCTCCCAGCATCGGGTTGGACGGCTCTCCAATGCTCCATCCTCCACGCATCCAGTCTATTTTGATACTCTACTTCCGCCTCGCTGGGTTTTGGCTGAGGCGATTGTTCCTCGACCTCTTTTGAAATGGGATGGTACTGGGCCTTTTTGTACTCAAGCCGTGCACGGGAGTGAAGCATATCCTTGAGCGGAGTCAGGGATGCATTCCACTGAGGAACTGTCATGTTGAACAGGTCCTCGATCAGCTTATATATGTTGCGGTGATGCACTGGGTGTAGGTTGTTGATATAACTGATAATGTGCCACCTGCCGTCGTCCTTCAACTCGAGGTCAAATGGGAGAACCTGGAACCTGCGACTGAAAGGCTTTGCGTCGATGTCAGCGCGAGCAGCGACTCTCCAAGCCATGTCTTCGCGCGTGATTGTCTCCGGAGGGACAGGGATCACCTCCCCTTGGCCTATGCTCTCCAATGCATCGTCTAGTCCAATGATTCGATCCTTGAGAATACGAGTCCGCCCATACACAAGAGGAAACAATGCAATCGGGGCAAGGTCGCGTTGCACATAGTCGCTCCCCGGGTTATAGAATCTCAATCCCGGTGGCACGTCTTCAAGAACTTTGATTGCCTGGCAGATTTGAGTCCGAAATGATTCCGGCACATTGTGGTCTGACTTCGAAATGTCGCCGTTGTACAACGTGACGACGTTGGTATGCTCGTAGATGACCGCTTTGAATCGAAGCTCGTCGATAATCCAGTCGGCCATGCTCTTTGAGATATCTTCCGGGCCCGCCATTGCTTCTTTCTTCCATGTTTCGGCAACCTCAGGATTGAATACCTGTCAAAATGTTAGTCGCGTTGATTCAGAAAAACAAGCGGTGCCGAATTGAGGCTTCGCATGATGGCAAGCAGGACGCGATTCAACCGAGTCAGAAATGAAGCAAACTTACCTTCTTATGCCAATCAGGCGTATCTGTAATGCGCTCCATCACCCTTACCATTCCTATTTCACGGAGGGTCAAAACAGGTTGACTGCGCTCAATCAGAATCGTTAATGAACAAATGCTGAATCCAGCTTGTCAGACTGGTTTGCGCCTTACTCGACATCCCCTTTTGCTATATCCCGATCGTCCAGACTTGTTGGAAACAGGCTCCGGTTCTGGACACCATAGATGTTCTGCTCCATCGGTGCATAATCAAGCGGCAGGCCAAATCCAGGCAGTAGAATCTTGCTGTCCTGGAATTTTGGAACGACTATGAAGGGCTCCTGCCTGGGTGCACTTTGAAACATGCTGCTGGATGATTCGAAATCTCACTGCCACATAGACTCTATCAGTACACGTTGCGTTGAGATGATTTGGTCCTTGTCTGACGGTAAGAGCTCTCCGTTTAGTTGCGGACACACCTGCCAAGCTGTCTATGAATTCCGTTTTCAATTCAAGTCGTCCTTGAAAAGGTCGTCACCACAATGTATTTTCAAGACTGACTTCTTCTCAACGAGTGTGCAGATCTCATGCATGAAGAATGGAGAGAAACTGATCGGACACACTAGGTTCATGACGTGTTGACATAGAGTTCAGAGTCATTGTGATTGCAGTATGATGTTTGCCTTGAGCGGTTTAATTGACCATCGCCAGCCTGAGCAAGGATCTGGAGCGAGCCGCTGCGTCCCAAAGAGCTTGGCGTCCTTCGCAACGATGACCGGACATAGTTTCTGATGGGATAAGTTGGCGGAATCCTGCTCCGTTTGCCTCGGTAATGCTGCAGGAGGAATGAAGTCATAAAGGGTGACCAATAGAAGGTTTTACCAGACTGCGAAGTAAAGGGAGAAAGGCAGGGACACGAAGGTTGCTATCAACTTTTGATCCGTGGTTCTTGCTGGAAGCCATGGTTCGATCAACTTTCTGGACCGAATGGGCTGTCACCTCGGAGCGAAGTGGTGTGGTTATACATTATAACTAAAGCCGATTGCGCCAAATTTGACGAAGGCAACTTCAAAAGAACCACAGATGCTCGGTAATCTTGAGAATCTCTGACGTTTGAGTGGTAACGAAGAGGGGATTGGGCTTGTTTGAATCGCAAGGACATAAGTCCTGCCACAATCAACCATTTATTTCGATGCAGACCACTCAAGATATGTCTTCACAATGTTCCAGTACCGTTCAGGATCCGACCTCATATGGCAGACATGCAGTGACCCGAGGAACTTCTCGCACTGAACCACCCAACCTTTGGTCTGCGCGTCCGCGGCATGTTGTTCGACATCTCTCCAGTGGACTAGCTCATCCGCATCGGAGTAAATGTAGCAACGTGCCGGGCTATTACTCTGACTCGATCCCCGGACCAGGCCATGATCATTTATCGCATTTCGAGCACGGCTCACAGCATCAGGAGTCCGGGTGAGTCTTAGTGCCAGATACCCCACTGCCAGGAGGACAAACAGCAAGAATTTACTCAAATAGCGCAAAAGCCACATCTTGGGCAGCGCGAACGAAAACGCCTTGAGACCAGAGGAGATTGTCGCATTTCCAGGCGCGCTATCTATGATCATCGATGAAACACGCAGCGGTTTTCCTGTTGCTTTCTGGTACGCTGTAAGGAAATGGGTGGTCGAAGCGACGCCCCCATTTGAGAACATGTGCAGAAACACCGGACCTTCAGGAACGTCGGAGGCCTGGATGGCCTCCACAGCTGGAGCAAGTCGGACATGCTGCGCCTTCTGCGAAGCGTGAAGCATGAAATCGTTTGAGGAACTGAGAATGAAGATTATTCTGGCCGAGGGCGCCAGGCGTCTATACTCGACGACATACTTGACTAGTGCGCGTGAGGAAGCGTTCATCCAGAAAGCAAGAACTATAACTCTGGCTTGCTTCCCAGAGTAACCAGCAGCTTCAACAGGGTCTTGGAGGTAAACAGATGAAGAGAGTTTGACAAAAGGGGCCAGCGGATTCTCCTCCTGAACTTTTGGAGTCATTGTGATTGTGGAGATCAGCGAGGGAGGTTTGCTTGGTTCTGACGGTATCTATGCGATAGCCTTAGAAAAAGAAGGCAGACGCCTGGCTGTCCACTTGGTCACTGCAAGAGAAATCCCAATTGGTACTTGAGGAGATTTGGGAGACAATTCTGTGATGAAGTGTTGTTAGTGTCAATGTGTCAAGGCGCACTAAAAGCTGACGCGATAGCTCCACTAGATACAATCTGACGAGTCGACGACACCATTATCGTAACGCGACGATGTCTCCGCGAACCAGGATTACACGGGTGAAGCCGAGCGAGAGGTTATCGTGGTTCTTAGCAGTAGAGAGTGGCTTTGATTAAGAACAGCAGCTCTCGCTAGAGAGATGGTTGCGGGTGACATAGTTGGGCCTCGGCAAGCTCCACCTGGTCTCGTGAGACTGCGGATTACAGCAGTCAGCCATTACAGTGAAGAGACACCCATGGTGACCGCCTTTGATGGTGGAGAATTACGGAGGGAAAATTGAGTAAATGATGGGCGTCCATAGTCTAGAATGGAACAGAGATGAAGAAAGAAAATGATCCCTATTAAACGCCGGCCAGCCTTGCTATGCTTGATATGAAGCCGTCTTGACTTAAATCTCTTGCCGCCTTGCAGGAAGAAATGGATACGGAAGTCGTTAAGCATTGTATCTGTGAGAGTGATCGACCTGAAAATCAGCGCTTGGTACCGCCAAGGGTTCGCCCACTCCCGTGAGACTTCTGGTTGCGTTCTTTGCCCTTGTGATTTTCCGCATCACTTCCCGACGTCGGTGTAGCGGAGTCTCCTGGCTCTCTCTTCTTTCCTCGTAATGTCTGGCCTGTTCCCTGAAAGCGCGGCTTTTCAATGGCCTGTCCGTCCTCCCCACGCTTCTTCACAGGCTTGATTGCATATCCAAAAAATAGCTGGTTGTGTGGAAGCCTAAGTGGCTGTGGTCCATTGGTGCGTCTAGCTGGCGGCGGGTGCTGAGGATTAGTAGCTCCTGGCACCGGGGTTGAAGGCTTAGGAGTCGGGGCTTTACTACCCTTCTTCGCATTCAAGCGCTGCCCTCCAAGAAGAAAGTTTGATGATACTGCTTTTGCACCCGTAGCGGCGTCGGTGGACTCTGGAGCAATGGCCGCGTAGTTGATCGCTTGAGCCATTGTCCCGTGCGGATGAAGTAAACCCCCAGAGGGGAGCTTACCGCTTACCCCACTGAGGGGTGTGCTGGTGCCACTCGGGCGTTGGATCTCTTCATACCCCACTGGCGGTGCAAAATCAACCTCTAGATCAGTCTCCAGTACGGAGACGGCGTTGGTGTTGTTCGATGGCTTGGTCTCGAGAACCGCCATTTCGTAGACCTGGTCGTTATAAGCAAAAGTGAAGACATCGCCCTTCGTGAGACAGGAGAAATTCCGAAAAGCGTTTTCTAACACTGCTTTTGGATCACTGATGTCAAGAAAAGAGGTTGACTGGGCTTGGAGTTTGATGAATTGGCCGGGAGGGAGATCGGTTGATTTGACTTGAACGAGGTCACCAGGCTCGAGTAGTAAAGTTTGCATGAGCTATAGAGAGACCAGAAGATGTCAGTGACGGCTGTGCCGATATATCATCGCAAGAGGACATGGACTGTCTAACCCAGAATGGCAGATAAATTTTCCCCTCCTCAGCAATGAATTCCAGAACACCAGCATGCGTCATCCTCTCTTTTGCACCATTATGCAACTCGAATAGCATGGGATATGTGATATGTAACCTAGTTAATTTGTCCAGAGCACTAGGAGGCATGATCACCTTGCCGCCATGGTTGACGTTTTCTCTCTCTGGACCAGGCAACATCGCGACGGGGTAACAGCGGTAATATTCATCGAAGCGGCGTGTAGCGGCTCCATGACGGAGCATGGAGGAGCCTAGGACTCCCTCCATCGGATCGTCGTCCCAATAGCCAGGGCGAAACTGAGGTTGTCAGGTCTTGTGAAACTTGCAGCTTAAAGTTGAGCTGAACGTGAGCTTACCATTGTGGAGGTTACGAGTAGGGAAAGTTCAAGAAGATTGGTGTTGAGGAGATCTGAATACTTGGCTCTATTCACAGTATATCCAAGTCGTTCTTTGAAAGATAGTAAAGCAAGTATGACAGAAATTTGTAGCTCGGATCAGTGATCCCCCACTGTTGGCCGTTGGAGATGGGATAGAGCAGCTGCTTCTTATCGTTGGACCAACAGTGACGCAAATGCCTCCGCAATGATTTTCCGAGCCGACCCCAGAAAAGACAGGAAACCAGCATCAAGCAGCAGCTCTTATCAAGCTCATAAGCTTAACTTCCGTTATTTCTGAGCTTCTGGGATGCTTACTGCTACTGATTCAATGATCTATCTCTTCAATTCCAATTAGTTTTGCTCCTCATCGTCGTTTCCATCAAGAATGATGTTCTCTCAACCGCGCCCAAAGCGGGCAGGTGAAGACTTTACGCGCACACACCACCACGATGAAGACGATCCGAACGGCCCTTCCGAACACAAGAAGCCGCGCTTCGATCTACGGAATCCCTCCAATCTTGCACCGGACGCGCTCGACGAGGACCCGGTATTAGACGCAGACGAGATCGGTCGTCGCGGACAACAAGTGCGCCGCAAGGCCGTGAACCTGGATGGCTACGATTCGGACAGTGAGAATGAAGGATTCAGCGCGCGCATCGAGGCCAAGGCGAAGAGGAGTCGCGCGAAACACGACGCTGAAGACGACGACATGTTCGCGGAGCTTCAGGAAGATTTCGGCGCCGAAGAAATAGATGCCGATGAGGCACTGAGGAAGAACAAGAAAACCGTGCGTTTCTTGCGAGATGATGAGATTGAGGGTCAGGTGGCTTCATCGAAAGGTGGAGTGACATTGCGTGCGGATCTGAACGCAACAGGGGACACAGTCGAGGAGGATGAGGTGGAAAGTGAGAGCGATGTTGCAGACGAAGACCGTGCGAGGCTTGAGGAGGGCATGGACGAGGAATTAGGTGCTGGAGCTAAAAAGAAGCATGCGCCACTGCTAGATGCGTTCAATATGCGTGCCGAGCAGGAAGAGGGTAAATTTGATGATCAGGGAAATTATATACGAAAAGCAGCAGATCCCGACGAGATTTACGATTCTTGGCTGGAGGGAGTATCGAAAAAGGATATACGGCGCGCCAAAGAGGCAGCAGAGAAAAGAGAGGCTGAGAGAAAGGAGAGAGATCGATTGAACGACAGCATTATTACGGCCGATGCACTGAGGACCCTAATAACTCACCTGCAACGGGGAGAAACAGCTCTAGAGGCTTTGGCAAGGATAGGCAAAGGGGCTCCAAAGAAACCGAAATGGCAAGCCAAGAAGAACAAGAACCGCTCGAAGCAAAACCGGGCCCAAGCAGAAGATACCGAAATGACGGAAGACGACCCCAACGAGGCTTCTCGAAAGCAAGTGATAGAGACCATCACCGGCGCGGCGGATATCCTCATGACACGGGGACAAACGGATATCTACGACACAGAGCGTGAGATGCTCACAAGACAGTATCGTCAAGAAACAGGCGAGGACTGGGTCGATCCTCCCTCGGAGTCCGCTGCTCCCACCAGTGCTGAAGAAGAGCCTGTAATGTGGCAATTTCGGTGGTCTGACGCTCGAGACGGCGGTGTCGAGCATGGCCCATATGACAGCCAAACAATGGAGTCTTGGAAAAGAGCTGGCTATTTCGGCGAGGGCGTCGAATTTCGAAAAGTCGGCGATACAGGAGACTGGACGAGCGAGGCCACTTTCCTATGATAATGGTTGGGTCATAATCCTAAAAACGAATCTCTATGTGCAATCTAGGAGATGGGATACTCCTCTGGGAGGGCATATCAACATCATGATTATCATTGAAGTAAATATTCTTTTATTCCCAGTTCGAAGCCCAAATACCAAACAAACCATGCACATGAGCTCGAAGAAGCGCCAGCCTTATCGTACATCATAAGATGTGTAAAACAAAAAGGATCAAACGAAATCAGAGGATAGAGAGCAAGAGCAGCGCTCTCGGAAGCAGCACCACATTGCCATGTCGTATTACCTGAATTTTGGTGCAATCTTCTTCACGGAGCAATACGACCAACGCGCCTTATGAGATTTCCATGGCATCTCCATTTGCAGGAGCTGAAAAGTTCACAGCACCTTGATCCCCTATGAACCGCTGTTCATACGCATTGACGAACTTGACACTCCTGGCAGGATCGTAGAACAAGCGGTAGCTGCGCTGTACATCGTCAATGCTAACTTCTTTGGCCTTTCGCTTCTGACTAAGGAGATGAGAGGTGGTGATGATATTGCTAGCATATCGTAGATTCGATTCCTGGCCAATCTTCGTCAAGAGAGCCAAAGCGTCCGGCGAGAGGTCGATCTCTTCTTCCTGAGCTCGAATTGCAAGAATTTGCCGGATTTCATCGCCAGAGTACGGCTGCGTGCTGACAATGACAACACGGTCGAGGAAGTCAAGGGGTAGTCCATGGGGAGAGGTGTATGTGGTTCCGCGGATCCGCGCTTGACCACGGTTGCTGGCCATGATAACAATGGGCGCAAGCTCCGCCTCCAGGGCGCGGTTGATGTAGGAAAAGCATTCAATATCGAGCATGTGCACTTCGTCAATGAACAAAACACCAGGAATGATTTCCGCCTTGCCCTCTTCCTTCCATTCAGCCACCTTAGTATTGATCTGATCTCTGACCTCGCTTCTAATTTCCCCAGTGTCACCAGAGAAAAGGGCCAAAAACCCTTGCGTCCGTGAGTTGATGACATCAATCTCATGGAGACTGACGGTGTGTACGATTTCCTTGCGGACCTGAAGTTCTCCTTCAGGGCATTGGACGAACTTGGTATCAGCGCCCATCGCATCATAATCTCGAGAACGAGCATAGGAACGTCCAAGCTTCGTGATCTTTCCCGATGACTTGTCAATTGAAATAACATCTCCGGCCATCACACGCTCCTTTGTCATTGAG